TCTATTATTATCTTAATGTGAAGTGTCATGTCTGACAACAAACACAGCTGGCTAGTCATTTATCTAAATTAAATTCATGGAAATGAGAACAGAATAAATAAGGTATTTCATTCGTTGGCGTCTCACAACTGTATGAATACCTGCATATTATCGTGTACTGACGTCGTTTCGAGCCTCATGTTCTGATTTAGAAGCGTTATTGTACATCACTATTCCCCTCTCATTATCAATGTTGTTTTTAATGCGAGCTCTATGGTTACCATACGATGACATCTGAAGACAATTAACTGTGTGCTGAGACAATGTTAGTGATTCGAAGGTCATGACCATAACAATTTTATTTGGCAGATGCTCCAACAGAAAATGCATTTTCTCCAGTATGAGAATTATTTGACAATCTCGCTATCCGGAAAGACATTTCTTTCCAACAGACATGAATCCCTTTTGGAGTTGTTTCTTATTGACTCTGATGTACCTATTAGTGTGAATAAAAGCGACAAAGCCCTTTCCATATGAATATGAAATCTCTGCTAAAAGCAGAATCGATTCATGAGCATGTGTTTATGAATCACTAGATAGTGATGATACCAGGTGCTCGCGAAAAGGTGAGCGTATCCTGTTCTATCGTTGGCACCAATCACCAACTCATGCACAGGCAAGCCAGTTGTTAACCGAACAAAACCCTGGAACATATGGTGCAAGTTAAATGGGGGAATGCCACCGGTGGTGCGAATACGCCCACTTTTCGTGAAAACTTGGTACATCACTATTTCATAGCGATTCATAAACATATACAGTCGGAATCGTACAATTGAAATGTCGTGTAGCCATGGAAAGCATTTTGTTGCTTTTATTTACACAGCGATCCTTCGCTAAAGGGTGCCAGGAAAAGACCATTATTGGATTCATCTTAGTAATATGTTTTTAACCCTATTATGCAAACGTGATTGGATTTTTACGAATCGTCAATACCATGGACACACACCAATTTGATACCGGGTGTAATTGTCCTGTGTAAAATATAGTAGCATCAAGTCATGTGACACTGATGCATGTCCTTTATCCGGAGATTAAAGCTTGTTCGTCCTTTGAGTGACCACGACAACTGGTATCAGTGCGTGTCCTATCAGGTGCTTCTCATACAGCCAGCATCCGCTTCTTCGCGTCCATTTGCACAACTCGGTCGATCCTTAACCGCCGCTCCACCCCCTTTAGGTTGACGGCTGATCTCCGAGTATTGTCTGACAACGTGTTAAGAATGGTGAAAGTAGTGTTAATGACAGTCCAATATATATTCAGGTGAGGTCCGGAAATTTGAGAGTGAAACATGAGGATGATATGATAAAGTTGTGTTTGGTTAAGTGAATTTTTGACAGGAAAGAATAGCTGGGTTTTGATGATGAGTTTTATATTCTATTAAGGATACTAGGATAGTTGTGGAGTATTTGATAATTAAGAAATGTAAGTTGGGATTTATATAATACGGTTTTGATAGCTTGGAAATAATATTTGGGAATGTTATTATGAGGATTTGATATAAATAAGTTTATACAAGCCATGTATGATTCGTATGGAGACATTTTGATAGTTATGATACAATAGTTGGATTGGTATAGTAAGTATCGAAATTTAAGATTTGTTAGTTGGGATCGGAAAAATGCGCTTTTGATTGTCAGAATAGGATAATTATATAGGATTGGTATTTTACTTTTATATTTAAGATAGGACAGGTGGGATTGGTATATTATATTAAGTCTTTGGGTCAGATAAGATGCGAAATGATGTTATTAGGGAGATGATGTAATAAAATGTGATAGGACGGTGATATGGGTTGTGAGATGATATATATTTGTGCGGGGTATAGATTTGTGTGATCGAATAGGACTATGAGATGCGGTGCTGATATAGAAACGGAAAGTCGAGATGAAAAGGTGACATACTGTGGAGATATTGTCAGGTGAAATGGTGAAATGATATGTGCGAAATGTTGAAATGAGATAGTGAAGTTAGCAAAGCGCATTCTATAACCCTTAGGACCAGTTGAAACATAAATTTAATCTACCCACTAAGAGCAGGCATAAAAAACATCAATTTGTCGTGAATCTCTACTTGTTTACATCACATGTCCATGCGAACGTCATTTGAGACAACGACGTTACATTATCTCACACAGAGCTCAATTTCTAAATAAGATGAATTGATAGCAACTTGTGTCACCTGCCAAATTTGAGTTATCAGGAAACTGATAAGAAAGCAATTATGTCAATGGACTAGATAATGGAATCTCAAATAAAATAATACTTATCGTGGCATATGGTTGTCAAAACAAAAGCGAAAACAGAGCGGTTTACTGACCACGCAAAGGCTAGATACAATTATTATTTTCATTATCCCGTTACATTTTTTTGGGGGTGCGATTTTTTATACATCATTACCAACATTGTTTCACGCTCATTAAATATCTCACGAAGCGATTTGTATATTACTGATACGTGACAAGAAACGAAAGTTGTGTGAAGTTAATTACTATTTTTTTCACGAAGTCTCAATAAATAGTTCAATCAGGTTATATGCAATCAATAGGGAGATGTCGCATGAACAGTCACCAGAAATGCTCGCAGGCCAATTTCACGAATTCTGAACATATAGCACTACGTGCACTTCATTGATTAAACCTCTTGTACCAACATCAAGTGGCCAAACCATCTTTAAGTGTGATGACCAGGGGAAAGTTCCAATCTTAGTACTTGCCATATATTACACAAAGTCAATCTGTCCCTGTATACACTCACCAGAAACTATCAACCATCTTATAAAGTGGATACGTTGTTGAAGTATATAGCTTTATTGTGCCAGGATCCATAATCAATCCCAGTCCGTTTTGAAGAACCCTCCAGGCGGCGGACTTTGCTGGCAGTGTGGAAAGAGGGATGTCAGGAATACTGATGTGTTTCCGCGGGGTCTTAAGTGTCACGCGCGACTACAAACGGCAGGAATCAATACTACTCGAGTCTGCAATGTAAATGTGTTGGGATATTACGGGTGCAAAATAAAACACTTGACAATGTTTCTCTTACATATGTGTTGCTAAAGTGTGAATCGATGTACAGCCGTAGGCTGTAGGCAAACAAACAGTTTATACTGATACTGAAGGCATGTTACAGAGATACTTTGCATAAAATAGTTTCATCCTCCCTTTTCGAGTATCAACCACTTCAAGTTATGTAGATCGCGGCAAGACGTTATTAACCGGCTTATTCAGTTCACTTCCAAATTTGAAGCATCAGTGACAAAAATGATGTCCGATGCAATTCCCTATATTGAATTGTACCATAGTTCCCTTGTTTTCAGGAAAACAGTTGACTTGCCACTGCATGTATTTGTGACGGTGCCGCCGATGGGTAGAATACGCTCACCTTTTCACTGCGAACACCTGGCATCGTTACAATTTAACTGTGATTCATGAACACCTGCTTATGATAAAGTCGTAATCGTACAATGGAGTGACGGGTTTGGCCAAGATATAAATAGACATAGGCTGATTTCTTTGTCGATGTTAAAATTCTGGTTTTAACATTTGAAAACATTCGAAAAGAAACAACTTTAAAATTATATAATAAATATCAAATAGTGCTGCATAAATAAAACGAATTTGGAATTTGGAAATTTAAACAAATTTTCTCAGATCACATGTAAGAGATCCTTCCCGTTTCAAATTGACATCAAACACAGATGTTTTTGAAGACAGGAAATAATTGGGTCCATCTCGGAAGAGGATCATTATAACAAAAGATTACCATTACTTTTGTATGTCCTATGTTGCTTATCAAGTATTGGAAAGAACCACTGAAGATTGTTTTTATATTGATCGGGACATGCTACTTGGTGAGTACTCAATGGTAATTCAAGAATAACAAACAATAGACATTACAGATGCCACAATTACCCTTAATGCATACGCACACGCACATATATACTTAGTAAGTACTATATATATAGTCCTTACTAAGTAGCATGTCCCGATCAATATGAGAACACTATCCAATACTGTATAAGAATCATAATAAGAGAAATGTAACGATTCAATGCATAACTTGTGTGTAATGGAGATGCATATTGAAGTGTACCACATTTAGACACTCTTGAGCTTTCGTCGATAGGACGCAATGTTACCTACCAGGTCAGCACACAGTGACACCCATCAAACTAGACGGTAAGGTTTCCAATGAAATATCAAAGGTAATTGTATAATAGGAAATGAGCAAAACTTTTCATCACTGTTGTGGTAATTATTAGATATGTTCATATTAATCAGAATTTAACTTAACTTAAGTTAGATAATCATTATTTTCATTCAATTCCTGTATGCATATACGTCAATGCGTGTTCCACCTTTGAGGTAAGGCTGAAATATGTGGAAAAGGTCGATTTCATACATTTTCGGGGAGTATTTTAATGTTCAAACATGAAAAAATCTTTAATCAAGTAGATTTTCTTGGGAGATGTGGGTAAAGATAGTCCAGTCGAATATATTGTGAAAACTTGGATCCCGTACTTGGTCATAATAAGATCTTTTATTTCGTAAAAATGTGCTTTTATCATTTTAGTCATACGTAATGATGTCATAAGTTTAGAAAGATCAATTCTCAGCCAAATCAAAGTGTTGTGTAACTTTCATAACAATGTTTCAAAGTTATTTCTAACGTTTCAATTTCACATAACGACTCGGCCCTGTCTGTATAAACGAATCATGGATACGTGTTTTGCGACTTTTTTTTAATAAGATAAATGCTTTCCAAAACGTATGCGTCACGAAGTTGAAGTTTCCTGACAAAGGGTATTTAACAGAAATCAAACGATAAAGAATATATGCCCTCATGCAAGCAATCAAAATGGTATTGATGAAATTGTGAACATGTCATGTCCCAAGTGAGAAGAAAATAGACACTGGGGAAATTCTACGCCAGTTCGTTCTAAGTGTTCTCATGTCTGTCTTCCAGATCCTACCATCAGTGCAGCAACAAAAACCGTAACGACTCTGGAAACTGGAAACTAAATAACGAAAGTCCTGATACTACGCGGACTTCTAACAGAAGCAGACCGTCGTCCCCTGGAGAGGAGGCGTTGCAAGCAAGGAGACAGGTACAGATGTTGCTGGTAGAAAAGTTAATTCTGTGATTTCTCTGAATTGTTTCAGGGTTTGCCCCCTGTCTCATATATGAGGAGCTCTTAATGACAGCATGTGACTCTTCGGTAGGAAACCTTTAATTGATACTGTCTGTTCCTTCAAATCAGACATGATGCGAGTTGTGGAAATGGTGCAGGCGGAAAAACGAAACCAAATACCCTTTCGGCTCTTATGAATACGTTTTAGTAACAAACCAACCTACTACAAAGGTTCATGACGGTAACAGCAACCCAACATTTAGCTATCTCAACTTTTCTACTCTATAGTTGTAGGCTTTGCTTTAAACATTTGCCCCTATTGCCACAGTATAATGGTCCCGGTTTAAAGACATATGCTGGGGAAAAGTTCGAGAACTAGGACCACACTGATAATATTTCAACAACAATAACAACCACCTAGTACTGTTTTTTTCAATTCGGTTCGCATATAACGATATACCATTTTTCAGAAGATGTTTATCTTACGCACGGTTCTCCTATTTCATCATCTTACACGCATGGGTTCCTACATAGGATCAATGTCATGACCGACCACTTGTTGGTAGTTGAACTCTCTATTACCTGAAACCCACGGATACACCAACGGATTTGACTTCATGACTCACCGCACTTTGAAAATGTCATTATTCTCCTTATACTAGACCTTGGCGATCACAGAATGCTTTCGTGACCTATCTTATGCCCCTGACCTTGACTCACGACAGCTGTAACTGGTAGGTTAGGGAGTGTTTGCCAACGTCACCTAGTGTCATTGCGTTTACGTTTGCAATGATTTGTAAGAATAGGGACCTAACTTTCTCGCTTCCATTCTATTGTTCTAACATTGAAATAATTACTTAAGCCAAACGGTTCACGTAACATTTCTAACACAATAATACAGAAAAGGAATCTTTACGTCAATACACGACAATGAAATTAGAAAAAAATGTTATACCAAGCATGGGTTCTAACTACGCGTTTACTCCACCAAGACACATTATTACTGACCTTAATAACTGAATCCAGTACGAAAAAGCCAGCACATAATAGAAACGACGATATTAGTGAAAACAAAGTGTTATAGGACATCTAAATATGTGCATGTACATTCATACACGGGCGTATTTGATAGAGTTATCAGCCCTGCCACATATTCATAAGAAACCGTTTACTGCTTTGTCGGCTGAAGCGGATATTACAGGGCCTTTGCAAGAGTATCCATCGTGCGACAAGTACGCGTCCCAATAGTATATATGAATCATATAATTAGGAGCTCTGTGTTTGACTTAATTATAATTCGTTGGAATGATTTGTAACTTTGGTCATGGTGAGCAGCAACTGACGGCGTTCAATATGGTACGGAGAGGGTCTGAATGAATGCCCGCGAAGATTTTGTTATAAAACTGATCACAAACTGTCAGGGATACTTCGTTTATTTTGTTTATGATGATGCAAGGACTCAGATGAAGCTTGTTAAAGAACAAGTAAGCTTGCTTCAGAATGATAGAGTGCTTTCAAATGGCACTAAGCACGTAAGTGCTATGTCATTAGCATCAATCGATAATCTTTGAACGGTTAAAAAGTACGTGGCTGTCACATATAACAATGTTCTTTTCGTAGATATGTTTCTTTTCTCAATGAAAACAACATCCATCACTGTCTGTGTAAATTGTCCAAGAGTAATTTGATTGCAATAAGATTGTAACACGATAAGGATCATATCGATTCAAATAGTCATTGAACACCAGCTAAATATGTCATGTGTAGTGTCATGTGGCTAAATATTTACGTTTGATACGCAGTGGAATGAACGGCTTGACAAGGAATGAGTTTACTCTTTTTAAATACTTTCCGTTATGCAAACAAATCACACATTAGGAGATAACCAACTTAAATAATATTATTTAATCCCTGCTGTGGACAAAATTAATATGAATACAAAGTGATATGGCTAATTTACATGTCATACTGCAAATAGCTGAAAGGCATGTTATGTGACACATACCAGACACCATGCACCTTTGCAAATAAAGCATACAAACGCATACAAAAGCAGCACCTTGTGAAGCTGCTGTCTCCCGTGTCATGGAGGCAGCTCTTGTTCCTGTACAACCTGTGGACAACCTGTGACTTTTAATGTCACCGCGGGGTCTAATTATACGGATGGAGCTTCAGGCCAAGTGGTCTTTCATCCATAATGTATCAAAATTATGCCCAGAAAGGAACCGTGCCACACAGCATGTTTTTCTGAGTGTTTTTGTCTTCTCTGTACAATGGCTTCGTACTTTGCTGTTGGTTATCATGGCGGTTGATGTCAGAGGGATAATATGACTAGCTATGGACATACACGAACACAAGAAAGGTAACAGTGGTTTGAGCAGTTTGTTCAGCATGTGGTCGTTGATATATTTACAGGGATTAGTGTATTGGGCACAGTTGACTTTATTATGTTGTTACCGTGTAAGTGTTTTCATAAAAAATGATGACCATGGCCTAAATAAGGCAAAAATGATTTGCAACATACCGACCACGAAGTCTATTACGTGTAGCTACATGTGGGCAATCATGGTGGTCTTAAATCAATGAGTAGGATCTCAATAAAAACAAACAGTTTTAACCCACAATCGAACATCGAGATATTAGTATCATGCACATTGGACAGACATGTGTATTAGTGTTGCTTACGCAATATAATACAGGGACATGAATCAAAGAGCATGGCAGTCATTACCAGGAGCCTCCTGTGATGTCATTACAATTATCGATTCCGCAGTAGTCAGTGGTAAAAGCTCATTTGTGCAACAACGTTTCCCTTGGGGATTTTTCCGTTTGTCACAATTCTGGCCAACTAATCTGAACCCAGTTCCGGTAACATGAAACGTTTTTACCAAGTCTTATATAACTGTCAGTTTGATCCATAAGCCAGTCCAATGCAATGTGCCCAGGCGTTTCAGAGTAAAGTTGCATAGTCTCCAGGTAGACGAGGCATCTTTTAAATACTGAACTGAACGTCTGTCTTATGGCCACTGATTTAGTCAGTAATTATCCAACGCCGGACGAGGAAATATATATTATCAATTGGAATCTGCAATCTTTTTGTCGTAATTGTTGTATCAATGAAAAGTACACTAACAAAAGTTTGATTAAGTGACCCCACTGTTGTGTAAAATGAACATATTTCTTAAACTTTTCTCTTTAATTAGAATCTGCACTTGTACACAATAGACCTTATTAAAAATTTAAAATATTGTTTTTGTTTCAACAAAATCAGTACATGCGCTGTCTTGACACCGGATTTTCTTGTCCATCACTTGATTGTCTGGTTATTGATAGGCCGCCGTAACATTGCAGTTGTACTGCTGTGCTGCATCAAGCAACAAACACTGACCTGTCATAAAGACTGTGTGAGTGGCAGGTGCTACCGGCCATGCTTACCCTTTTTGCGAACTCTTGGTGTCTTCCCTGCTTCTAAGTGATCCATTTGTTCACCCGTATTTTGCCTTTAATGCCCATCTGTTTTGGTGGATGATCGAAACTAGTTATTCTCTTTTTATTTTCTGTCGTTTTATTTAAGTTGAGAAGCTCATATTCTCTGATATGTACAGTAAACTACGTTTATAACGAACACGCCTATAACGAACTGACGGATATAGCGAACTTACTTTTTTGTCCCGACTATTTGCTGTAGTTATGTTGTATACATGCTTATAACGAACTACGGTTATAACGAACTAACATTAGGGGTCCCTTTGAGTTCGTTATATCCATAGTTTACTGTATATCGAAATCCCACTCCAAAAGGTTTCCTTTCACACCTTTCCGTGTTATACACGGAGATCATTTGTGTGATATTATTTGCAAGGAATATCAATAAATATATGAAGTTAAACAATATTAGGAATGGAAGAACATATGCCACTAAATTCATAAATTACATTCAGCTGGATTAAATACTAGCCGTGATAAGATCTATAAATATAGTATAAATGAACATTGCAGATATCAATGATGGCCCTTGCAACCTGCTGTCAACTATCAAATGTCTCTCGTCCTTTGACAGGATACGCTATGATTATCCCACGATGTTCAATCAGACATATGTCTGAGGATTTTATTGGGCCGAGGGCTGACAGATAAATCAAATGATAGCATTCCTGTCTGGTGTGTCCTTTACTGTTGATAACATCTACAGACCCTACGTCGCTGCACCGTGTATATCCCCGACACATTGCTTTGTAAATAAATCGAACTGGATAGAATATCTCGAAACACAAATCAATGATAGCGTCTCTTAGATATTGAGGATGCTAAATTCTCTTATGAGAATAATAAGTTCGAGATTTTGTCCCGTCGTCACATGTTTCGTTTAAAATTAAATTCAAAGCCTACATCTGCAAATCTAAAGGTACTGTTCAACAAACTCAATACAAAAATAACATCGGACGTGCTATAAAACGAGAACGGAAATAAAATATCAAATGTCAATATCTATAGTACGTTACTGTATGACAATGGAACAAATTTGAACACATTACAAAAGAAACAGGTATGTGAATTAATCATTCTTTTCCTCTCTAGCATTGCTTATTTTCTATTTTAGGTGATTAAGATGCTGGTGGTGATAATAGTTCTGTTCCTGATCTGCTGGGGTCCAAAGCTGGTCATACATGTGATGAAGAAGTTGGAACTACAGGCATTGTACTCCCCCCACGTGTTCAACCTGACGGTAATCCTTTCTTAGTATGCATGTGATCAATGTGTGCGATTCTCCCTTCCGACGGAGATGTTGTACTTGCTGTAGTGTTCCTTATCCGAAATTGGTCAGTTTAGGGAAGGTCAATACCAGTCAACAGACGGTTTTGGTCTCTACAGGTTAGTTGACAGTGATGTTGGTGACGTCAGGTGAACAACTGACTCGCTCTTACAGACCCGTGGATTAGAATAGGTCTTCAGCAACCCATGTTTGCCGTAAAAGGTGACTATGCTTGTCGTAAAAGGCGACTAACGGGATCGGGTCGTCAGGCTCGCTGACTTGGTTGATGTATGTCATCGATCCCAATTGTGTGGATCGATGCTCTTGATATTAATCACTGGATTGTCTGGTCCTGACTCGATTATTTACAGGCCGCCGTCATATAGCTGGGATATTGCTGAGTGCGGCGTTAAACAAAAAACAATACAAAAAGGAAACAACAAAAATAAAGCTTGCTCTCACATGTGTTTGTGACGGGTGCCATCGATGGAACAGGATACGCTCACCTTTTCGCGAAGTCTCGATACCATCACTATTTGACAGTGATTCATAAACACATGCTTGCGCTCATGACAAGGCGTATTGTGCTCGTTATATAAAATAGGGGGCAAAAGAAAGTATACACCCATGTTTGATGGTCAATAAAATGAAAACAAACAAGATAATATTTTTTTCAATGATGGTGTATTCGCTAATAGGGTCACATGCAATAGTCCATGCACAATTTCAGTGCGAAACTCAAAACAGGTGCAGGTACATGACGTTCACATGAACATGGGGGTAGGCAGATCACAAGTCACAGGAATGATCAGAGTCAACCAGGTATTGTCTTGATAAGTTTGTTGCCTTTAACGAATACCTGGTTCGCTCAGTAACGAGTATGACCACCGTGAGCACCAATGCGCGCCGAGATTCGCCGCCTCATTGATGTTGTCACCGGCTGATGACGTAATCGCAAATCCGATTCCATTCAATTCTTAAGCTGTTGCTGGTGGGTGTGGACGTCTTCGGATCTGTCGCTTCAGATGATTCCACAAGTGGGTTCATGTCAGGTGAGAATGCTGGCCACGGAAGAGCGTTGACGTTTGTCGTATTCAAGAAGTCCTGGATGAGCCTTGCAGTGTGTGGTCTAGCGTTGTCGTGGAAGCACCACGGCTTGAAGAACATCATCTATGTATTGCTGGCCGTTGAGGTTGCCACGGGTGATGACAAGACTCGTCCGTTGGTTGCCACGAATTCGACCCCAAACCATCACACCACTTCCACCATAGGGATAAACGTCTTGAATGCAGCCTGGCACCAAACGTCCCACCTTGCCACAGTATACTCGAGCTCGACCATCACTGTGGAACAGCTGAAACCTGCTTTCGTCAGAGAAAAACACTCTCTGTCAATCATGGACATGCCAACGTCCTTCTGTCATGGCCCATTGCAATCTTCGACGTCGTTTTTCCCGGGTCAGTGGGACGGTGAGCTCTAATACCTGCGTCACGTAGACGTGTACTAACACCGTTGCTGCCGTTTCCGTCGCCGTGACGAACTTGTTGCGCAGATGGTACGTGCGCAAGTGCCGATCTTCCTGTTGCGTTGTCACTCGAGGTCTTCCCGATCTTGGCCTATCTTGTGTCCTGCCAAGTCTGACGCGTTGAAACAGTCTGACGACCGTTGCCCGTATACAGTTCAGGTTTCTTGCAATCTGGGTGTGGTTGCCTCCCATCTGCCCCTTACCTATGGCTGTCTCTCTCTCTCTCTCTTTTTGTTCCGCAGTTAACCGTGGCATAGCTTTGGTGTTTTTTTATTACAATGGATGTCTTAGCAACGGTTCATCGCCTTTGTATACAAATTTTGTACGTGCAATTTTACGAACACCTGGACGCTGCACGTCCATCTTCACGGCCAACGCGTTGCGTTTTGGAGATTGATTGCAGTTCTTGGGCAACTGTTTTAAGCATTATACCATTTTGATCACTTTGATAGTTTTGGGGAAAATATCAATTTAAAACTGTATACTTTCTTTTGCCCATGAGTTTAGTGGGCATTATACAATGCGGTTTTGTCACTATTTCAATAAACTGTGACGTCCGGACACTGTGAGAAGCCTCCTCATTTACTAAAAACTAAAGAAATAGGTGTCACTTTAGGTTAATTTCTTGACGTGACTTTTTAGTACAACGTTTAAATGGCAACACATAATTGGAATGAGATCATTTAATCAATACATAGCTTATAGCTAGCGTAACGGATGACGTGTAGAGCTAGCTAATCTGCCATTTGATACAGGCAACTAAATATGTTTGGACGTTGCTTTAGTTTTGATTTTACCATACAAACTAGAGTCGTAGACTTTGAAGGATGCGCTCGTCTTTGACCACGGAACAAAATCCTCTTTCGGTAAACTCTTTCAATAGCCAGTAGAAATCTCTGCATAAAGCAGAGTTAATTGTACGATATCCGACTATATGAGCATGTATTTAGGAATCACTATCAAATAGTAATGATACCAGGTGTTCGCGAAAAGGTGAGCGTATCCTATCCCACCGGTGGTACCCGTCACAAATACATGCAAAGGCAAGCAAATTGTTCACTTGAAAACAAATGGGAACATATGGTAAAAGTCAAAATATGAAATTGCATCGGACGTTATTTCTATCACTGATGCGTCAAATTTGAAAATGTCCCCCACATGTCGACCATAAAACTTTTAAGAAAAGGCTACACGTCATGAGGATGTAGACAGTAATACATGTGTGCATGTGTTAAGACAGTAATTGTGTCCACTGTGATCTGAAACGTGATAACACAGATTAGTGAGATTAGTTGTTTGATTACAGTGTTGTCAGGAAGTGGAAACTACTCAATATAATGTTGTCTACTCATTCCCAAATCATACATGCAACCAGATTACATTACATCAAGAAGTTTCGAAATAATGTGCAATTTGCTGCTGTGTAAGGACAATTCCGTATCGTAGTTGTAAATGAGAGGACCCGTGGATTTGCCAAAGTATTTTGCCTAAATATGTGTGTCGTTGACATGATTCACGCCGAATCCCCCTACTGTTTCGACGCAGCATCTCCCTACTGTTTGTTTGTTTGTTTGTTTGTTTGTTTAACGCCGCACTCAACTAGGTCACCGATCCTGACCACCCGATCCCGTTAGTCGCATAGTCGCCTTTCATAGCAAGCATAGTTTGCTGAAGACCTGTTCTACACCGGATCTCTCTACTGTATCGCATGTGGTCCCCTTAAAGGCAACCTGAAGAAAGTGTTTTAACATGGTGTCTTCTCTCCTGCAACCTCTGCTACCGCATGTGCGTAAGACTATCTAAAACCACCAAGGCAATGTTGATAGTCTTCGTCATGTGTTCATCCCCGCGGTAAAGATAAATGTAATCTCCATGTTATTAATAACGTTATAGAAAGGTTATCCATTATCAATATGAGCTTACATATGATCTAAAGCTCTTTGTTTTGACAACGTATGAGAAAGTGGGTGAGTAACGCTACTTTTTTCAAAAGTGTACTTATTTTGATGTCCTGAAATTGGTAAGCAACATTATTATACATAGTAAGGCACTTCGTATAAAATGGGGGCACGGGTTGTCGTAACACGTTGAGCAGAGTTGCGTCCCTTAAGTATACCAGACACCAGTGATCGTGGTTTTCGAATTTGAGTTCGCCCTGATTGTGTTTCTCGGTTTGTCAGCACCGTATCTCTGCTCGTGAATTTTACCATGTTGGTAACGTCTTAAATGTGCATCACTCCTATCTTTCGTTTCACATTGATGTTACACGTCGTCATATGTACTGTCGGGGCGGTCGGGTAGCCTAGTGGTTAAAGCGGTCGCTCGTCACGCCGAAGACCCGGGTTCGATTCCCGACATGGGAACAATGTGTGAAGCCCATTTCTGGTGTCCCCCGCCCTTATATTGCTGGAATATTGCTAAAAGCGGCGTAAAACCATACTCACTCACTCACTCATATGTACTGTCAAAGCGATATTAGCAAAACCCACTCATATGCACAGTCACACTATCACGCACTCCCACACTCATGCACTCCCTGCAACATGCTCTTACTCTTACACACACACCATCTCATGATCACTCGAACAAACAAAAATGATTTAGAGGGAAAATTGCCGTGTTCTCTATATCCACACTCCACTGTTGTAAAAAAGCAGGATATAGGCATGTTAGCGACAAACAGTCGAAGTTACATGCTTTAATAACCCGCTCCCAAACTTTGTATATGGTATATGGACACTTCTTTATTCTGGACATAAGTCGACAATTTACACAGGAATGAAATTATGCTACTAACAAAATGGCTATATCGAAGGAGCCTGTCGATATTTGTGGGCATAAAAGTATAGATTGTGAACTCACCGCGAGCAACGCTAGTGAACACCAAAACATAAACTCAAACAAAAAAGGACACATGTGGCACGTTAGTCACACTGAATCTCTACGAGGTAAGTATAACGATTTACACCTCCTTCTCCACCACAAACAACAAAAACACACTTCATTGAGAATACACCTTTCAACTCATAACACAGAGAGTAACTCACATTAAACATGTCTTCTCCTCACAATTTTGTGTCTGTTCATTCAGCTGTGCCTCCAGTCTAAATGGTAAAAAATGTACAGTTGAACGAAGGGAACACAAGTAACCGACAAGGCACAGAGAATTTTGTGGCTTGTTGAAATCGTTAATAAATGCGACAGAACCATTTCCATATTCAAAAGAAACCTCTGCCAAAAGCAGCTTTAACTGTACGTATCAGACTTACCTTGAGCATGTGTTAAGATATCGCTATCAAATAGTGATGATACCAGGTGTTCGCGAAGTCTTTTCTCCATGTAAAAGCAGAGCCCGTTGTACGATTCCTACCATGTCATGATGTTCATGAATCACTATCAATTACTGACGTTGACACCAGGGGTTCGCGAAAATGTGAGCGTCTCCTCGTAGTTCGATAATTTGTAGATGAAAGACACCTGCGTGGAGATGTGGTGTTTGAAATTAAAGTGTGTTAAGTAGGTTTTGCTTGTCGTTCAGTGACCAATCAGAATTATGAAGTGGAATTACTTGTACATATACCTGTAACTGCCCACTACATTCAGTCAAATGCTACGATACGATATCTCTCTGTGTAGAGATCAGAGGAAAAGGTCTGATGTTAAAAAGATTGCAGTACAGACGGAAAGATCAGAATTTCAATGTTACTTATGAAGTGTAAAGGGAAGTGTCAGTGTGACACCTATTATCCCAATACGCATGTTTTATTTTAGGCTACATCTGCAGTGTCATATATGGCTTTCTTTTCTTTGCATATCAAAGTCAATGGTTTCCTTACTTTGCTTCCATTGTCGTTTTGAACAACAATATGTTTCCTAACGGTTATGATATTATAAATGACACTGCAATACACGCGCGCGGGACTAGGCACCTGGTACCTTGACCTGAATCATGTGCGCAGTAAACATAGTATATAGTTCTACTTCTAAAACAATCTGGAAGGAATACTACCTCGACGTCCACATGTCGTTTTGGCAGTAGTTTTAATCGATTTTTATTTGTATTTGTGAACCTACATGTTCAGTTTTAATCCCATGAAGATTTCGGGTTAGAATTGTTTTTCAGTAACCCATGCTTGTAGCAAGAGGAGTCTAACGGGATCGGGTGGTCAGGTTCGATGACTTGGTTGACGCATGTCATCGTTTCCCAACAGTGCTCGTGGGTTTCACCGAAGTGGTAAACGTCTGAGACCTGCACCACTTCGGGCTTTCCTCCCACATTAAGCTGACACGCCGTGATATAACTGGAATACTGTTAAAAGCGGCGTTAAACCCAACTCACTCACTCACTCACTCGTTTCCCAACTGGGTAGATCGATGCTCATGCTGTCAATCACTGGATTACCTGGTCCAGGTTCGACTATTTAAAGACCGCTGTCATATAGCTGGAATATTGCTGAGTGCGGCATTACACAACAAACAAACAAACAAACAAAGCATGTCCCCTTTATGTTGTAATAACGATGCATGCCTTTTATGGATGCTTCAATGGTTCGCCGAACGTTCGCCTCACAACAGTCAATCGCATGCAGATCAAATCTTAGTTCTCGCCGCCGCTGATAAGCGACACTTTCATTGGTAGGATGAAAGGTCGTTCTGACGTGACCTGTAATGGAATGTCCTTAAGATCTTTATTTACCGGTAGCGAGAACTAAGATGTGATTGTAATGAGATTGCAATAGCTGGCTCTCTGCATTGAACCCGTTTCGTTGATTGGACACGACATGGCCATATGCGATAAAGAGGATCAATACTCGGGGAAACCAGATATTATGACAAGTTCAGATGGTGGTAAATAAGAATGATTTCAACACGAATATCTCCACTATATCATCATTGGTCTCGCTGGGCGTTTTGAATAAAAAACAACTTTAATTTGCTGAGCAAAGGAGAAAATAAGGCTCCCTTGTTTGGGCGTATTTAAAAAGCAAGAATATGCAGGTAGCTAATGAGTTTACCTCTACGTTATAAAAATGCGAGAATCTTTGTGAAGCACATTCAACATAATTTCAAAGATCCTAAAAGCAAATGTCTTTCAATTGTAATAAATACTATCGCGATTACTTCACGTGGTTATAATCACTTCGTTCCTGCTCACCTTTGAACACATACGGATTAGGATTAGCAGTGACGCGTGTCTGTTTTAGTAAGGTAATGGAATTAGGCCGTACCTAACTGTGGTAAATCAAATGAACCCTACTCCGTGCATTGACTTTGTGCGAACCCTACTGTTGCCTGACAATAAAGCGATGTGTGAAGCAAGTAGCACCAGGCTATGGCTCACGTAAGCTGGATGTTCATTGGTCTGAGCAGTCAATAGAAACAGGCATTCGCTGGATTCATTGGTTAAACAGTGAAACAGTGGCGATAGCGATAACGACCGTATGTATGTTTCCACGGGTGATGGACGGACGTAGCTTGTGAAGCCCCGTGAAGTATTAACGTTGAATGAATAAACAGAATGCAGTATATAAGTGGCGCTTTTCATTTTTGTCATCGCTATAGGTATAGATGTGGCGGTCTGACATTGCCATAAGAAGTAAGGATAAGAATTTATGGATGAACAACTTCTTTATTACGTTTCGGTGTAGTCGCTCTTAATTGTAATAAAGAAGTTGTTCATCTTTTAATTCTTATCCTTACTTAGTACTCCAACTTCTAAATGCCTATCAAAGAAGTTGCCATAAGAAGTCTTAAAACATGTATGTGGTGATACTATCATATTTGAGCGAATATGTTTTTTACGAATAGACAGCTGGATGTAACTTATTTATGGTTACGTTGTGTTGAATTCACATTTCAATTAATGTACACTTTATCGGCTAAAAACATTTTTTTACTCCCGCATTTTTTGACCGCATGTCACAAGTGTATGGGGATAGGTGCCCTAGCTATTCTACTGTTCCCAAGGTCTGGAAGTCAACTTCCATAAATGAAGATTCAATCAAGTAGATAGAAAAACTTATACTGTCAGATGGACGTATTACCATTGCTGAACTAGAGGAGGACACAGGTCTGAGCCATGTATCCATTGAAACTATTATTCATGAACATCTACAGATGAATATTATTATAATAAGATATCTGCTCGGTGGGTGTCACAGTTTCTCAATTCTGATCTTAAGGGAAAAAGAACTGACATTGCCAAATACAATTTATAGCTGATTCAGGAGGATTTCGTCAAATTCAAAGAGAGATTAGTAACGGATGATGAAACATGGGTCTACCACTATGATCCCGAGTCAAAACATCAATCAGAGCAATGGCACCATTCCACTTCTGCGGCACCAACGAAATTTTAGTCTTCAAGATCAGTGAAGAAAGGTATGGCAACTGTATTCTGGGATGCAAAATGTGTGATCCTTGATGATTTCTTAGACAGTCAAAAGACGATTATCGGTGCCTACTCTGCCGATTTGCTTCATCGCCTGAGAGATTCTATCAAAGAAAAGCGGCGAGGGGGTTTCTGGCGTGCCCAAGGCACGCAACTCTGCACAGCGAATCGCGGCGCCTTAGACGACTGGGCCATCCGTGACCCCGACTTAAATTGTAAAGCTTTACTCTCGATATGAGAAGAGTATTGGAAAGCAGAGGGGTTATGTGTGAAATAACGTTAAAGACACTTTAACAATAATTGGTTTTGTTTGTTAGACTTAGCACGGTCGCCACAAAAGCTTCACCAGATAAACAAAACTTTCCTTAAATGTATAAGTCCAATTATCATGAATATAGCGTTATATTCGTCCAACAACAAGGTAACCCAAGATGTCAGCGTCATTAACTTAATGTATTAGTTTTAACGATACATTAACGACACCCCAGATCAAATTTATATATTGACACCTGAGCCCATTAAAATCGGTATGTTGACATTGTATTGTCCTTGCCTCTCCGAAATGCTACGTTATCAGGTTTCTGCTGGAGACACGATGTAAATAAGATAGGGTAAATGAATACATCGTCCCCCAAAAAGCGTTAGCTGGATTTAACACCCCTTTGAACATCATTCCAGTTATCTCACGGCATGTCAGCTCAGAGTGAGAGAAAAGTCTGAAGTGATGCAGGTTTCAGACCTTTACCTTTGTTGAAACCCACGTGGCCGTGTATGGTGCTGACAATTCCCAGAAACATTATTTGTGCGAACTGGGATTCAAACCCACAATCATAGGTTTCTGGCGTGCAGAAGGGACGCAACCCTCAATAGCGAATTGCTGGGCCTTAGACCACTTGGCTGCCCATGCCCCCCTTCTCAAGAGAGAGAAGGCCGAACCCAAATTCACTAAATTCATGCAATCTGAATATCTGAAGTCACAGAAGGTACTGATTCACCCCGTATCATTGCTGAAACATTTGAATAACCAACGCGCTTCTTATGGGATATGTCATTGCCAATTAGTATTGTGATGATGCTGGAAGGCGTTCATGTAACATGTATGCTACATGTATATTCTTTTCTATTGTAAAGCTACATTTGAGTTACGCATTTCTGTACGACTTGTTTGTATATTCTGAAAACATTTGATTATAATTCATCAAATATATGAGGAGCTGGGATTTTATCTCCGCCGAATGAATTAAAGCCATTAATTCACGACGAAAAAATGGAGTAAATAATGTCGATGTTCTCAAAGATTTCTTTAATTGAGTCTGTGACATAACCACCACAAGAGTCAAAATGCATGAAGTCAAGGTTTGCCATGGACGGTTGGAGCTACATGACGTCAGCTTTAAGACATCTCAATGATATTGCAAGATCGATGTTACCAATACCAATGAATTAAATAATCTGATAGCCAGCTCAAGAACTGCCAAAATCGGCTCTTAACACACACACACACACACACACACACACAACCAAACACACATACAACCAAACACACGCACACACACGATTGGGGAATTATGGGTAAAATACGTTTTATGAAGCACGCACTATTGTTAATGCTTGACAACTGACAAGGTATTGAGAGCCGAGATTAACGAGTGCCCACTTGTGTTTTTTGGTATTCTGGCTGGACAAAAATATTTTTAAAAATCTTTTTAAGTCCGACCGACCTCCTTGACTTACTTTAAGAAAAATGTACCCGAGAATCGTATATTTTATCCACTCTTATAAAAAGTTATAAGTAATTACATGTATTTCCCTGAAATATTTTTTTTATGTTTCAGATCCTGCTTACCTGCCTACCATACGTGCAATCCTGCCTGAACCCGTTTATCTACGTACTCATGTCAAAGTCGATCAGGAAAACAATTATGACGTCACTTCCTTTCCGCTTGCGCCGCTACTGCCTGTGCTACTGTTGTCAGTATCGAACATCCGGTTCACCAGTGAATGAAATGGTTCTAACTAACCACAGTGCAACGGGTCAAACCGGACTGAAAACGTCGGTGGAGACATTCAGAAGCTATGGTGCTAATGAACCAACGGACCTCTAAGTCAGTGCACAGAACAGTGAACATACATTCTGCATCCTGTACACATATAGTAAATAAGTTTAGTCTAATTCAATTTTAAGGGGACTATACGCCGTAGTATTTGGGGTGAAAGATAAGTTCTCACAGAGAAAGAATTGCCTAATAGTTATATCTTTTGTTATATATATCTTTTGTTTGGCATTACATGAAATTACATATCACAGAGGTATATCCACAAACACCTGGGTTATTATAGCAAATTGGTTCGCTGTGATAAGTCAGTAAAATAAGCAGGGGTCTATGACCTTTGGAAAATGCAGTGATCAAGTACTTGCAGAAATAAGGCTAAACAAAAGCCACCCCTTTAGATATGTGTCCAATAATGGGGAAGGATGTCCCTTCCTATCCCACCATAAAGAGGTCGGCAGCAGAGGAGAGCCTTGTTGGTGTCCTGGAAGGCCTGTGACGTCAGCAACACCATAAAGTATCCTGAGAATCCACGATATGGTGATGACCGACCGGCGAATGACTGAACATCATATTGCTAGTGTTGTGCCCAAGAGAGTACATTATTACAAAACTTGAAGCAATGAAGAAAGTATCAGCTTATTTGGTTCCAAAGCTGACATGTGGTTAGCGATAATTTAGTTATGTTTGAAGCCGACCTAGGAAGGTTCTTGCAACGATTTGCCCTATCAGCTGGAAAGGTTATGGCCTACATGTTCTGGAGTGCCAAAGTGATCATATTGGTGGACTATCTTCCAAAAGTCAAGACAATGGAAGAGCATAACATGCTGCACCTTTGAGGTATTTACGGGATGTAATTAAGAAAAGGACACGTAGAAATTGAGAAAAGACAAGTCGCCAGTGCTCAAATCAGTCATTGCCATGGCTACAATCTAACACTGAAGATTAGAACTCCAACATCCACCCTATTCTGATGTGGTTCCGTCATGACTTCCCTCTGTTCCCAAACATTAAGAAAGCTCTAGCCAGAACCCATTAAGACTTGAACGATGACGCCATAGCAGCTGTGGACAACTTTTTGGACAGCCAAGGACGAAACAGAGATAAAATCCCTCCAACACCGTTGACAAAAGTGTATCAATGTTGAAGGAGATTATGATTAATAAATATATCAATCAACCTGGCATGGTGCCCATTATCAGTTCAGGTACGGATGTGAATCATTTGTACCATGTGTGACACTGACGAGTTCTCTGCGCCATTAGGGTATTCACTGACTGTCAGATCGATTATGAGTAAGCGGACACACACAACGGGCTGTGAACGACAAGACTCAAACTTACCAGTGACCGCCCCTAATGGATGTTGCCCAAATTGTTCATTCGCATTTTACTTCGAACGTGAATACATTCACGACAAGAGCATAGGTGCACCAGTGTGATATCAAATAGCTCTGTCGTCTTTGCATGTATGTGTGTATCCTAGTGTATGTAGTAACGGTAGATGGATGCGAGTTGTTATTCATTCCAGTAAAGTTGTGTGCCTTGAAGCATAGGTATCTTTAAATAATGGATCTGAATTGAATCAGCTCATCGTTGTAATGATTTTCCATGGATTGTTAATTGGCATGTCCTATTGTGTTTGGATACACTATCATGTTGTTTGTTTAGTTACGTTCACTTAGCACTATCTATGTACAAGTCAAAGCTAGCCAGCCCTGTTCGGCAGCTAGAGGCTTCACAATGCAAGGCCGCCAGTGTTACATGTCTTTTTGTTTTGTTTACAAACTTACTGTGACTGTTACTAATGTTTTTTTCAAGGATAAATAAAGTATATCTACGAAGTCACAATTGGTCTATTAATTAAATGTGCTGCGATTTGACAGGTAGATGTTTGTCCAGTTCCTGGCTAGGAGTTAAATGTGAAATTGATCTGAGTTATGAAATGGGTTTATCAGACCTATACCCGAGCTCGTAGAATTCGCTAAAGCCATAAAGTCTATGACCTGCGTGAGATACGATGGTCATTCCCCGTATTGTACTGGTCACAGTGATGTAACTGAAATAATGTTAATGTCAATCATCACTTTTCACATGTCATCAGTATTAGAATGTTGTCATACTAACGTCGTTATCATTGTAATCGAGTTAAACAATTAACTTGCTTTCTTTCTACATATTGTACAATGAATATATTCGATGATATGTCCTCATCGATACATTTCTGTCCATTATTACTGTTGAGGTATATGACAGGACAGACTGTGATGTATTTTCTTTTCTGAAAAACAACAATTTTACGTGTAATAAAATGTTACTCGTTGAGCTATGTCTAGTTTGTTTCACTAATCATACGGTAAAGGGGTCTCACGATTCTATTTCAAATGGGGGGCACGGGTGGCCCAGTCGTCTAAGGCGCCGCGATTCGCTGTGCAGAGTTGCGTCTCTTGGGCACGACAGAAACCTATGATTGTGGCTTCGAATCCCGGTTCGCCCCGATTATGTTTCTAGGTTTGTCAGCACAATACCCGTGCTCGTGGGTTTCACCGAACTGGTAAACGTCTAAGACCTGGATCACTTCGAGCTTCCCTCCCACATCAAGCTGAGACGCCGTGATATAACTGGAATACTGTTAAAAGCGGCGTTAAACCCAACTCACTCACTCACTCACTCACTATTTCAAATGGTTTACTCGGAAAACGCACTATAACGCTAGGCATAGATCATATTGCCGACCCTGCATATATTCCAATCACAACAGAATGTATACCGCCGCCAAAGAATTGTCGAACACGTTGGACTGACTTTTGGATGTGTAACTGGTCATGGTAATTGAAAGGTGTAAAGAAACCTTTGATTGTCAGCTCTTTGAGTGTGTTGATAGATCTGGCTGCAAAGTGAAAACCTCTTGTAAGACGAGTTAATAATAAATGAGGCTTGTCCCGTGTAAACATCACCGGCGACGTGGTCTATGAAGCTGTGGTTACAGGGATTCGATTTACAGCCATTTGCAGACCATTAACATAGAGACAGTATGGACATCAGTAGACCACTTTCCGAGCTGGTACATGATTGCAAAAATGTACGTTTCATGCAACCGTGAACATTTGTTCTCTCTGTGATAGCAATACAGTTATAGATGGCTATACTATCATACTCATATGTGATATTTAAATTTTATATTGTATAACGAAAAAATAGTGTTCCACAAGGCTGTCTGTACATTAATATTAAGAGTGAGTGAGTGAGTGAGTTTTACGCGACCTTTTTAGCAATATTCCAGCAATATCACGGCGGGGGACACACGAAATGGGCTTCACACATTGTACCCATGTCGGGAATCGAACCCGGGTCTTCGGCGTGACGAGCGGACGCTTTAACCACTAGGCTACCGAACCGCCCCTAATATTAAGAACTACCGTATCTGTAGTCTGATGGAATATATATTTTTGTATATAAAATCGATGACATTTATTGCATAATCATAACATGAAATTTCATCTAAAAGCAGAGTTCTTTCTGGATATATCATGAGCACGTGTTTACTTAGCGCAGATTTTCGCGAAGTGGTGAGCGTAGCTTACACGGGGGCAGTCTTTGGCTCATGCCCCTCATCCCACCCCCTACTTCGTCTGCTTTCCATTGTTTCCAGATTTACAAAATAATCGCTTACTGTCAACATATTTGGGTTGAATTTCACGTTTTGCATTTCTGGAGTTTTTTTAAACTTTCGTTTTCATGACGTCTACTTTCCACTTTCTGGGCCAAATATGATACAGTGTAACGGTAAAATACAGATAGTAGGCTTCTAACAGGTCCAGGATTATACAGATACAGAAGTTGAACATGATGAAATCGGTTCAAACGTTAAGGAATACGGCATGTGTTGTAAGTCTAACACTGTGGACCAAGGGTGGTCAAATGTGCTGTAACTCGCGCTGCAGAGACACTACCCTGAAGTACGTCCGCATTCGTGTGTCCTGCATCCAGATTTGTCATCCAAAGATGAAAACGTCTATGAACCCCGTCACATTTGGCTATTTTTCATAATAAATAAAGTACTTTTTTAACCTAGCTCGCTTACTCATTTTGATGTCAAGGTGAACCCTATTATCACATCTCTTCAGAGTCAAAGATCAACAGCAGGGACATTGTGTGACGTTTGGATTTGTTAGAACCATAACCGGGCAAATGGGTTTCGCCGAGGTGGTAAACGTCTGAGGTCACTTTGGCATTTCCTCTCACCTTTAGCTGAAACGCCGCTATATTACTGAAATGCAGTTCAAAACGGCGTTTAACCCACATTTTAACAACCCTAAGGCTGGAGCGTAACTTAGGAAGGAAGAACCTATAACCATGATAACGACCACTTGGTCTAATTATACGCCTGGGATTATTCTCGCTTTATACGACCAGCAACTTAGAATTAAACAAACTGAGGATCGAACAATGAGACTGCAGTGATACTGAGAAAGAAAGGAGCTATAACGACGACTTGGTCTTATTAAACGTCTGGGAATATGCTCGCAAAATGCTACCAGCAATGTAGTTTTACCATCTTACCATATGTCAGTCTTAATTCAGTGATTTTCACCATGCCTTAATACAGCAGACCGTGGGAAGATAAAACTATTGTGTCCATTCGATCCTCTGTTTAATCGACTCTTTTTCACAAACATGGAAGGATCAGTTACAGGGGCTATAACGATCGTTTGGGAATATACTTGCGTATTGTCCAACGACCTATTAAGGAACTCTGCACGAATAGCAACGGCACTGAGGGCATATTGTGTCCTGGAATCCCCGCGGAGGCCTTCGATGGATGTGAGTCGTCGACCCTCCGACACAGTGGACCGATTTTCCCATCATCTTGTCGCGGACATATATATGCTATTGCACTAAGGTGCTACATAGCACCAAGCATCCCAGCAGTGTGAATAATAATAAGCGATAGTTGTCAATACCATTGCTTGTTATAACCTTATGCAATTTCTACAATGCAAATCAAAGAAACATACTTCATCGGGCATACATTAATGATATAATGCATAAACCTTTTTCCTATTGGTGTCTTCCACGATATGACTTTTTGTTATATTTTAGGAATATGTTTTTGTCTGTGAATACCTTCAGCGTTAAGAATAGTGCTATTCCTTTCAGGTACATCCATTACATTACATTACATTACATCCATTCTGCTATACTGT